TTGGTCCGTGCTACTCTCCCGTAGACCAAATATCAGTACCCCTGGAGCGCGAATTCGTGGCCAAAATGATATAGATTAAGCCGTCCTTAGAACGTCACTGTTTCCCAGTGAATAGGTAGGCCAGTAATGTTTACTTTAGTCATAGTTCATTACAAACGTATCGGACAATTTTGTGCCGAACACAGCAAATCAACCCATAATGCAATAGGCATGTTTACTACTTTTGAAGAGGTGTTCTTTGTGAAAAAAAGGTAAATTTACTAAGCAAGCTTTTTGTGACCGGTTCCCCAATTCGTCTTCGGACTAGCGAGCATGCGAAAAGAACAATTAGCATTTCAAACCTGCGGAAAACTCAATAGTCGTATGGAGTCCGAGCTGATCGGTAGCTGGGGTTTCTGCCAGTCCATATTGTGCGGCCCTCGTCTCTTCCATCGTTGTTTGTGATGTTTATAACTTCATCTAACTCTACGTGTTGTTTGATGCATGAATCGTTGAAGTGCATGGACTCATGAAGTTCTCGTCATATTTGGAAGGGGCAAACTCCGATGATGCGTGTTTCGTCCCATATGAAGCTGTCTCCTGCATTAAAGCTATGCATAGCCATTTCGAACAAGTGGTCACGTCTTTTCGCTTTCAATTGGTGCTCGCGAATGCGTCTAGATATGAACCTTTCTGTTTGGCCACTGTATACGACACCACAAGCCTCGCACGGGATAGATGATTCCGGCTGACATATTCTATTCCAAACGAGAAAAGCAGAGTTCTATTGGGTTTTACTGGTTTTTCTGCTAACGATGGCTTTTTTTGCGTATCTCCTGTGCAACGCAGTACGGTTTACCCAACTATACTGAATTAATTTCTACTTTAATATCAACTTCTGTAAGCTAATTTCACGCACCTCTGTCATTTTATATTTGTTTTTAAAATTATGTATATCTGTATATGCAGTGCATGCTTTAGAAAAAAATGTTTTTCTTTACCACAGGTCAAGTCATAATCGGAATTATTTCCTCCAACATCAACAAGAATGCCGCCAATGCTGCTAACCTCTCGGTCCGCTCCGGTGATACTGATTTGGCGGTGGTCGAGGGGAACTCCCGCAGCGGCGACGGCTCCTGTTGCCGTCGGTTCTGGAACATGAGCAAACTCAACGTTCTCTTCGCCGCCATCTGCCTTTTCAACGGCATTGTCACTATCGCATTCACCTTCATACCCATCCCCTCTGCTATAGCCATCAACAGTCCAGATCTGCTCATTCTGAATACCAGGCAGGGCTGTGTTCTTGCCTTCGCCTCCTTTATGGTAGGCCTTAGCGATGGTGGCTTCATGACCATGCTGGGTTTGATGCTGGAGCAGGAAGTGGAGGAGCAGTATTTCCCCGCGGCTCTGGGCATTTGCCTTTGTATCACTGGAGCCTTTAATTTCGTCGGCACTGTGGTTGGTGGTGAGTGCTTCGTCTTCGCACTGTTCGTAGTAGTCTTCCTTAGCACCATTTATTTTTCTATCATTCCTTTTGTGATAGTTACGATGTGTGTAGGGGTTTACGTCAAAGTTCTG